ATACTATATATATATATATATATATATATATATATATATATATATATATATATATATATATATATATATAAACTTTAGCTACATGTTCTTATGTTAGCTAGGTTTGCTGTCAGTAATCTTTCACGGGCCCATGCATCCTATTTAAATCATTTATCCACGAGCTGGGAAAAAATAATTCAAATATCCTAGTGTACTAGCTATAGTTTGACATCAAAAAATTTCCTTAATTTAAATAAAATACTTGACCGCAATGTGCGAAGCATCCGTTTTCATACTATGATAAACTGAATTTAATTAAAAAGAATTTGGGATTACCATCCCGCAGTCATACGAGATACCACTGTAGTGTGCAGAGAAACTTCAATATATTGCATGCAATCTTGGCAACCTAGCCTGTAGTATTCCAACTTCAATATCCCGCACAATATATGCGAAGATAGAAAAATTAATAATATTTCCGCTGTCGTTATGTGTCGTATAATGTTTTTATTTTTTATCTCTGTAGTTCACTTTTGACAAGAATGCGGGTTACTTTTTGGTGGTTAGCTGTTTTGGCAGTTTTTCCGGTATTTGCGATCGCTCTATCCCAGGTAAAAAAACATTTTTTAAACATTATTTCGCTATAGATTAACCAATTTAGAGTTAATTTATTGAATATTGGGTTAATGGAAAAATCATATATTTCATTAGAACAGGTCTGGACTGCATATAGACGCTATAGAGTTACACATAACGGCAACGTAAAATTTAGAGGAACGTGCCTCACACTATAGTTATATAAAGTGCAATCTTCTACGACTTCCTTGAATTAGGGAAATGCGTATAACGTGTGAGGTAAAATAAGCATGTGAAATATGCTGTATTTTATCAGTAAAGTAATGCTCAAATGAAGAGATTTTAGATCATGGTATCCCAAAAGAAAATGATATCAATAGTTTAGTTGCGCTTTTATTGCAGCTGTAAATATGAATATGCACGGCGTCAATTTCGAAACTTTTATTTTAATATTCCTAACGGTCGGTATATGCCAGTACGCATACTGCTGAAAAAATAAGCAAAACTAACTTCTTGACGAAGAGCCTGCTTATATTTTTTCAAGTAGCCTAGTTGTTTTCTCCTAATCGCAGTTGCATTCTAATATTATTTTATGCATGTTCCTCAACTGTATGATAGAAAATAAAGCTAGCAGCAAATGCGCGATATACAGGGTGTATATCAGAAAAAGGTAATCTAACTTTGACATGTTAATGATGTTATTGTGTGTTAATTAACACGTCAATAGCTTTCACCTTTTTCGTCTTTATAATTAAGATCAGGCTTTTAATGAGGATAAAACGCGGATTCCGCATTTGAGGATAAAACGCGGATTCCGGAAGCTGATTCCGCAAATGAGGATAAAACGCGGAATTGCGTAAAAAAAGGACGAGAAGAAGAATAGCGTATAAAAAACTAAAATTATTACTTTTTAAGGTCACAACCACTAAAAAGCGATTGGCTAAAGTTACCTAGTTACCCTAGGCCTAACTGTTGAAGTCATACATGCATGCATTAGTGTTGGGAGGGGGGGGGGGACAGTGACTTTTTGGACTATTTCTTAAAATTATGGAGGGAGGTGGGAAATCGTATTTATCAAGAGCGTCTTCATTTTTGTCTAAGTTTCTTTGTTAATGTTAGTAATATTCGGGCTTTGATGGCGCAGGCGTCAGAGGAAGCGCCTTTCACCTCTTAGATCGTGGGTTCGATTCTCGCTACGGATTCGATGTGAAAAGAGTCTGTCAACGCTCCTTTAGTAGTTGCCGCCCGGCCATATCCTGCTGCGTTCCAGACTTTAGTTCGAAGTTCGAACGTATAATATGAAAAATATCGATTAAATATTCAGTTGGACATTTGATCGCTTACACGCGTTTTGCTAAAACAGAAATTATTTTAGCAAAAGCAGTGTCTGAGGGAAAACATGGAAATTTGAATTGATTTCTTAATTTCTGCTCTACTTGAATTGATCAAGTTACAAATTGATTCATATAAATACAATCAATAACTACAACCACGATCATCAAGTTGAATTTTAGTATCTGCGAAGCAGATATATTGCCATCGCAAACGTACCGTATGTTAACACATAGCCATTCAGCGAAGAGCTTATATAATTGAGCCAATTCATGATATATTTAAGCCAATCAGCGATTAGTTTACATCGATTGTTTACATCGTGCCCGCATTAATTAGCTGCCTAATAAACCCAATTTATCCTTTTCAAAATGGCGGCCTTTCATGAGTGGGCAAAATGTTTCAAACAATTTCGTTAAAATTTTCAACGAATTGTACCGGTTTTCTATGGATTTTGCATTGTGTCTAACTCTGGGCAGTTTAGTTAATGCATTTTTCTTGGTACACGACTCTGAAAATCCGAAATTTGGATCTTTGAATTCCCGTGCACGATCATATTAAATATACTGAATCTGATTATAAACGAGCCAAAGACAATTGCAAGGTAAAAGGTTATAACCTAAACTACACAACGTAGTTTTAATAGATAACTACTTTATGAGAAGCATATTGGTGTCATATCAATATAAAATTTATGCAGCAACAGTCCCTAATAGTCAGCTGTGGAACGTGAAAACTGTAGTGTGAAATATGATATTGTAATGGGCCATTGTATTTTTAAACCAAATCCCCCCTATTGAGGACATCCATTTTTTGGTCCCCCCTCCCCTGGAATTTCCACATTTTTTAAGCGAATCTTTTGCCTTCCCTGTGGAATTTCCGCAGATTTTTATTGAATTTTAGCCATCCCCATGGAATTTCCGCAAATTTTTTATGAACTTTTAACCCATCCCATGGAAATTCCTTGACAGTTTTTTATCTAGCCAGTGGAAATTCCGTATTGATTCTTTGATTAGTAGCTATCCCTTGGAAAATTTCTTGCTGATTTTGATCCTATCCTTTGGAATTTCTTTTCCATTGTTGACCCTCCCATGGAAATTCCATACGTTTTACTCATTTTTCTTGCCTATCCTTTGGAATTTCCGCAGATTTGCTTTAAAATTTGGACCCTCCAATGGAAATTCCTTCATTTTTGGTTCACTTTTGCAGGGGGCCATTGGAAATTCCACATGTCCTCAATACGGGGGGGGGGTGCAGATAAAAAATGCAATGGCCCAATGTCTAATGACAGTGATGACACCTATTAAAGGTATAATGACGCAGTAAGGATAAAAATACCACCGTTCGATTCAGCGTAAGAAATTGCATTTACGGATGTCAAATGTATTACTAAACAACAGTGTTCTAGCGATTTACGGCGAAATTGTATTGTTGACAAATCGTTCGCAGTACGTATATAGGATATCGGCTGACAGACAGACAAATCACTCGCAGTACGTTTGTCTTTGTATTTGTATTTGTAATGCCTAATGGCGCAATACGGATAAAAATACCACCGTTCGATTCAGCGTAAGAAATTGTACTTACATACGGATGTCAAATTTTTACTAAACCAACAGTATTCTAGCGATTTATGGAAATTGTGGCCTTTGTCTTTGAAAGCCAAGCGAAATCGTATTCACTATTGTTGACAAATCGCTTACAATTGTTCAACTAATTATAAAAAATGCAGTACGTTTGATCCTTGATAACTTTGGTATCGTTGGTTTTCTCTTTTTCGGCCGCATACCAGTAGATTCGTCTCAC